ATTGCCGCCACGACCATCCGATGCGCACTACAACGGTCGCGGGGCTCGGGGGTGCGGTGTCGATAAAACATAAAGTGTCGACTTTTCGTTGGTAATGAAAGGCGCGTGATGAAGCATATGCGAAACGATGGACCCTACCGTAAATATGGGCTTCCATGGTGTGCATGATTCATTCAGACAAACATATAGGCGTTGACTGCAGGGGGGGGGGGGGGGGGGGGCATCGGGGCTCGCGCCCCCCCTGGTGCGATCCGGGGGGGGGGGCAGAGCCTCCCCCGGGCCATGATCTTTACCGAGAGGCTGTTTACGTGCCATGTAACGAGCTTCTAGTAGTGGCATGTAAACAAAATAACGCACACAGCCACGGACACATGGCGATATACATACGCTGTAAAATGCATGTATGCTAAAATAAACTACTGATAATTGCCGGTGTAGAACAAATTGCGCAGAAAATTATCCCCCCCCCCCCAGAAAATGGAAAGTCTACGCCGCTGCAGACGAACGCACAGTTGCCAGTGAATCGGGGGCTCAATGTGTAAAGAGAAATCGCGTGACATATATTAGTTGTGTCAGCACCTAGCGAGCCCGCTACTCATCACATGCTGGCAAATATGTCGCGACCCATATATCAAATGTTATGAAACGCCTCTGACAGCGCCGTCAGAATACCGTGAGCAACAATTAATCAAGCACTTTTGATAAACATTGTGCGCAAAGAAAGTCCCGACGGCCGGGCAATAAGACGCTTTTGATGAACCCGAAGTAAAACATGAAACTTCTGATGGCCCACCAAGAATGTCCAACAGACCATTAGGCGCCGTCAGGAACTTCTGACGGACCATCTAGACGCATCTGATGGTTCATCAGACTTTTCGATGGTCCATATCAGACTTTCTTGATGGTCCATCAGGAAGCCTGATGGGCCATCAAAGAAGTTTGATGGTCCATCGGGAAAGTCGGATGGTCCGTCAGGAATGGACTGATGGTCCATCAGACTTTCTTGATGGTCCATCAGGAAAGTCTGTTGGTCTTTTCAATCGGGATGCATGTATTACAGCTATGTGTTCAAATATTTTCAAAGTGCTTGAAGTAATGAAAAAACGGTTAGGGCGCAGGCGAGCTGGTGTAAGTGTACCATTTTTTAGACCACCTGAGACTGGGTGGAAGAAACACAATGACGTCTCAAACACAGCTAACCACTTTATTCAGTGCTCCCTCCTTTTATACGTCCTGAACCCAAAATCGTCACCATAAAAAACACTCCAAACAATGGCACCAAGGGGACACGCCTTGACTTCGCAACCACGCTAATCTTAAAAAAAAACAAAAAAAACAACAACAACAACAATGAATCACTTTGAACTAACAAAAGGTACACACGCATCAAAACATCGGCCGAAGAAACATTCTTTGACCTCACAACCCCTCTTATCTTGAAGTAGTTGCAAAGAAGTAGTTGAAGTAGTTGCAAAGAAGAAAATGTGCCTCAGTTCAGTATATTGAAAAGTAGTTTTTAGTTTATGAGCAAACTAGGGGCAAAAAACCTAACTGAATAAAGAATACGCTGTAGACTGGGACGTTTTTAATTGAAATAGTCTAAAATATTGTGATAACGGATCCGTTTCTAACCGGATTTCAATTTGGGTTTTGCTATATTTCATTAAGGTTGAATTTGTAGCCTCATCCAGCATTGGCAGGACACTTAATCACATTCTTGGCATAAGCCTGAAATAAAGTCTAAAAAAGAGCCGTAGACGCCACAAGGAACATTATGCTCACTCACCTGGATTTGCCATACAGCTGCATACAACTTGTTAGCAGGCTGTGGTTGCATTGAAAAGATAGCTTTCCCTAATAGTGATAGTGTGATGTGACCATTGAGATAAGGAAATAAACATTGAAATGTTCACCTGACTCCTGAAGCTTATGGCTTTGGAAAAGCTATTTATTATTTGCATGCAAATTACTTACTCTATGGTTTCACCGCAATGCACAAAAGGAAAAGCCATCTTCTCAGGAGAAAAAAGTAGTTTGTCCATGCAAAGCTGAATACCTAGTATGCTCTTTTCTATATAGTGAGATAAACAGGTGCCTTATTATATGCACATGCTGCATGTGCCTCTCACGAATACAGTCAAACGTGCTTTGACATACCGTATTTGCACGAATATAACGCGAGTTTTTTTTCGAAATTACGTGCTCCAAAACCCACCTCGCGTTATATTCGGAATCGAGTTCAGCCACGAGGCGCGCGAGTCTGGAGAAAGCCAGAGGAGTAAGCCATCCCTCTGGCTCAATGCAAAATATCCGGTGGCAAAAGAAGTGGGAGTGTGGAGGGGAATTTATTAGCTATTGGGCCACGTGAAGGGGCGAAAAGAAAACATAAAAAAAAAAAAAACATTTATATCGCTGTTGTGTTTTTACAATGCGCGCACGCCGCAAGAACTCGGCGCGGGCGCACGCGCCATGCGGGAATGCGGGCACCGGCCAATTCGAGCCAAGCCAAGCCGGGCCAAGTCAAACACGAGCCAAGCCAAGATAGTGCTCTAGCCAAGACCACCAACCGCGTTTACGCAATCGTGCAACACGAGGCATTTGTTTATGCAGAGGATCCAGAACAAGAAGTGTGATCGTGTATCGGGTTGAGCAGTCTTTTTTTCTGCCGGCGCATTGTTTAGTTTCTGCTCCACAGTGGTCTGGTGTTTGTGTGTTGGTGCTTCTGCTTCGTGCCTTGTTTCGATTGTGAGCTGCCGAGGAGCTCACGCTGAAGAAAAAGTAACTACTAGACAAGCAGGTGCCGTGCTGCTGCTTATCTGCGTAGTGGCCAAGTGGATTGTAAACGGAAGGACCTGAGCAGTGAGGATGAGTGCAGTCAAAACATAAACTGATATTTCTTCTATTTCCATTGACTTCACTTCTGCTATGCCCCCCAGTGCGAAAAATTGACGCGGCCTCGGCTCGCGTTATAATAGTAATAATATTTTTTTTTCTTTTTGGGGGCATCAAAACCTGCCCTCGCGTTATATTCGTGGTCGCGTTATATTCGTGCAAATACGGTAATTCTGCATAAAATCTCTCAAAGACTTGTTTTGTCCTTGTGTGTTCTATTTCTAATCACCCTCATTTTGTGTGACCCCAAAGGACATGGGGTCCTGTGTTTCTTGTGGCAGTCTATTTAAAAAAAGACAACAATTACTCCTATAGCTGCCGTCTTTTAAAGTTCTTATCCTCAAGTTTACTTCTGACGTAACTGTCCTCCTTGCAAACTTTTCAGACATGAAACCATTCCTATTTGTGGCACTTGACAAACAAGTTGAACAAATATGTCTGGCAAAATTTATGTCATGTCTATGACATATTCTGAGTCACATCTATAGATAAACAGAAATGAAAAGGGTGAGTCAGTAAGGAAACATGTTTTGAACACAGGTTTATTGAAGAACAGTGTGGCATTTATGTTGCGACAACCACAAATTGATCAAAGCAAGCTGTCTGAGGATCTAGATAGTACTCCTTTTTATGTAGAATATTTTTAACCCAACAAAAAGGAAGAACCTAAGAATTGTAAATACAAAGAAAAATATCATAGCCATAAATTTTCTTGCTTGCAATTGTAATTACACTCTGTCTCTATAATGTTTGCTCTTGCTTTCTAGGCCCTTTGACTCAATGAATGAGTAAAAAAATTTGAGCTTGTTTCTCAACACAGGGTAATAAGGTAAACCACATATTGCACAGCATTCAGGGAAACATACATATGCATATAAACAAGACAAAAAATAATTGCCCTTACACATGCACATGCCAGAAGGATAGTTCGACTCGTGAAACTCTCAGCCACCATGAAGGGCACAACCAGTACTTCTATCATAATAAAAGGCAATCAGTTCCATGGATATTTCTGGCAGCCACAAGTTGGTTTGAACTGCTATGGACATTCTATATATTTGTTGTGGGAAATCAAGAAAAATGCAGCACTGCTACTAATGCAGGGACCTGCATCCTGCAGCATTTACCACATTTAAACTGACGATGCTTGTAGGGCCATCAAAGTATATAAACTTGAACTTCGTTGAGGTGTGGTAACATTTATCTAATCGTTATGCCCAATATCTTTTTTTACCTGTGATTTGCGGCTCCATCACACCCTCTGAACGTAACGGATGTAAACCAATCCTGGAATATTTTACAGACACCATTTCTCAAGGCATTCCGTGTTTGGTTCAAAACAATTTTTCAAATATCATGGCATAGACATGCCAGGCTTTTTCTATTCTGGAGAAGCGCTGCATTTCCTAGTAACATGCCTGTACTGCCCATGCTGATCCAAGGTTCTTATATTCTAAGTTTGAATGAACTCATACCTGGCCAATGGTTAACAGCACCAAAACTAAAGCATCTTTAAAAAAACTTTTTTTGCAGTAACAAAAACAAATGTGTTGGAATATGCTATACTACCTTACAGTCCTTTAGTGTTGAAGGATTACCGGAGAAGAACCTGGAAGTTTCACTGTCATATACTAAGAGGCACGGCAGTTTGCCAGGTTAGAGTTCAGTGTACTGGGAAGTCAGTTTGAAAAATATGTACAATGTCAATGGTAAAAAATAATGAAATAAATCATCTTCAAAAAGACTCGTTTTCCAAATAATAAAACTGAATATGTCAAAAGACATTACACAGTACTCCTGCAGTGTCATAGAAGAAGCAAAACAAAAATCAAATATGCAAGTTTCACTGCCATATAAAGAACTATGGCAGTTTGTCAGGTCATCCCAGGTCACTGGAAAGTCAGTTTGGAAAATATATAGTACATTGTGAGTAGTAGCTTCTAAATAAATCATCATGAAATCAAATATTGCCTTATAGTATTAAAAATACAGTGTAAAATGTGTTATACGGTTAGGTACTCCTCCAGTGTTGGAGGAGCGACAGAAAAGAACTTCGAAGTTTGGCTCTCGTACAAACAGGTGTGGCAGTTTGTCAAGATTACGCCTACCTTGTACATGATGGGCAACTGCTGAAGAAACAACTTTTGATTTTTTTTGTAATCAAGAAAAGCGAATTCAGTGGCCACTTTCCCAAAGCCCCACTCAACTGATTGGCGGACTCGGCTCATCTTGTAATTAAATGTAGCCTGCCCCACAGTGAGGCTCGCACCCCCAAAGGGGCGTTGCAGCAGCTCTCGGTGAGGGTAGGCGGGGTCCCCGTAGAGAACGAAGGGCTTTGGGTTCATCAGCACCTCCAAGTCTGCGTACAACCCACTCTCCCTCAAGATGCCTGCAGAATAACGAAAATTATAGTTAAATTATATCATAAGGATAATGTAAGTTTTTGTACCATGGTACTATGGCATCTCTTATTATGTTTTTAGGATTAGAATCTCCAAGTTGAGGTAATTTCACGCTTACGACAAGCTTAATTCTTCTATCTGTCACAAGATTCCTTGGGCGGCGTGCAGCACGAACCTAATCATGACCTCTCCGGGGAGTGTAATGTCTATATGTTAGGCTGATATAATATGTTACATGCTCACGCTGCGTCACTTTTGTTGTATTAAATGTCATTAATTACTTGAGAAGTTTTGGAGGACCGCATACACTATCAAGAAGCACATGCTCATATGCACACTGTAGTCCTCCAAGATTTGTTATTTAAAATATTTCCCAAAATAAATGATGATTCCACCACAGTACACATATGTTCGGTTATTTTAGTGTTGATGATTTTGCTCTGTACTTTCTAGGGAGTTCATTGTGTTGTATCCCATTCATAATATCTATGTATTAGTTTAAAAAAATAATTTCACTTAAATTGTGCCACATTCTTTGTACTGGCACACAAACATATTGAATGACTTTTGAGCTGTCTTAGAAAATGTCAGTTCCACAGAAAACCACAATGAGTGGAACTAAAACAGTGGCAGAAAATCCTCACCCGCGTCGTGCCTGCATCCCTCATATGGCCCATCCAGCCTGGCAATGATGCCATTGGGGCACATGACTGCTTGGTATTTGGTGCAGTGGTACCTCTTGTGCCCCGAGAAAAACTTCCGCTGGTGCCACGTCGGCCGACACATGGCCCTGGCAGTACCATCGACGAACCCCCAGCAGTTCGTTAATGGAGCTCCCTGGTTGTGGACGGCCTGAAAAAAAAAAATAAATAAAGTGATTGGTTAAAAATATTTTTGCTGATATTTCGTTGTGCTTACTAAGGAATCTAGACAGATCACAGAAACAAAATGTGACAAAGACGTCCTATCACATAATTTACTTGACCTAATGACGAGTGTAAAAATACAACCCTGAAATTTTAGCAGCACAATTTTTCTATTGGTTACATACATTTTCTTATTCAACTTATAATGATTACATTTGCAGTAGACCTATAACATTATGCTATAAGCGATACCCGAGTGCGAAAAATTAGCCCCTCATTTTCATTCAGTTTGCTGCACTTAAAGTGAACACTGAAAGATAGCCGACTACTAAATGGGATACTGGTGATAGTCAAGCGATTTATGCATTTAAAAGACCGGCCAAAAGAGCTTTTGACTAGAAGTCGTCTTGTGACTATGATTGTGCCAGTATTCAACTTTTCGAATAGTAGTTCTAAATATTACGCTATTCGATATTTCCTTCGATATGAACTGCGATATTCCTCATTTTCAAGCATTCATTGCGGCGGGTTCGCCCAGTTGAGCGCGCTTCTTACCGAGCATCGGTGCACTGCGGAGAAGCACAACTGCGAAGCTAGCTTTTACGGATGTTGCTTTTTCGCAGTACACGGATGCTCGAAAAGAAGCACACTTAACGGGACTAAACCGCCGCGATCAACATTGGAGTTAAATAAAAATAACTTCGTTTAGGCAGAAACAAGCGGAAGCTTGGGTTCGATTCCTTCACAAGTTCAGCTGGGTTTTTGTTTTACACTGTGCAGTAGTGAAAGGCTCAAAGAAACTATTCGATATTCATTTAAAAACTCTTCGCCCAAAACCACTATCCGCTTCTAATTAAAAACCCATCATTCTCACGTGAATAATTTTGATTAAACGTTCTGAGCAGTTCTCTTTGTGATATATCATCCTGCCTGTTCTCTTTTCACCAATTCTGGTTTTAGAGGGATCTTATGGGATAGCTATTTTAAGTTCAAATCGTGGATTCGATATTCCAAAACATTTGTAGTCTTGTGTTTCCGGAGGATGTTTTCTCGCGGAGAACTTTTTCCCGGAGGATGTCGTGCCAATTGTTACAATTTTTATAGTGCCTAAACATTCTAAGGACGTGTGGTTTTGTTTTCGCAAGTTTTCAAACGTTTTGCAGCACTCATGCATGCACGCGCGGATATAGGTGTTTTGCAGTTAGAGCTGCCTTCTTATATAGAAGAAATAGTGTTGCTCACCTCCGCAAAAACGTCAAGCTGGTCAGGGTCGAGCCAGCTGTGTGCGGTAAGATCTCTCAGCAGGTGACCGAACGTGTGCGCGATGTGACGATGCACCTGGTTGGATACGATGGACAGCGTCGAGGAGTGGCGGCCGAACATCAGCTCAAGGTCGCAGAGGCGGTTGGGGTAGGCCAGCCTCCTCAGCCCGATCGCGAGGGCCTCGTCCCCTGACACCCGGACCCAGCCGTTAGTTGTCAACGTCTCCGGGATGCGCAGCGCCGATCGGAGATGGGGCAGATCCTCCTTCGTAAACCTGAACTGCCGTACGACGTCCTCCTCGTCCATCGAGGCCAAGTTAAACGTTCCATGCCTTGCCGCCAACAAGCGCCTTCTCTTAGTGCGCAGACCGTCGTATAAAAGAACTTTTTCTAAATTATTTTCGCCGAATAGAGCCAATTCCAAGTCATCGTCAAAAAGATCGAGCGCCATTCTTGTCGGAAAGCTCGTCTGCTCCTTTAGCAGACGAACATTTTAGAACTTCGCAGTGCCAGTGGCGACACGCCATGGGGCGCCAGGTTTTGCATTACGGAAGCGCATTCATTCCTGCAAAAAAACGAGACGAACTATAAGTAGGTATACAATATTTTAGGTTCTTTATATATTTAGGGTGCGATCTTTATTTACTTGAGTTTCTGCGATTTGTACAACCACACGCCAATTTGCCTTTTCTCGATGAGGCGGATGCAAGTTTCTGTTGCCAGGGGGCGCGACCTGTACCGATCGTCTGCTATCGTCTGCAATTACGGTTCCCCCAAAGCCGTTTCAGGGCACACGATCGGTCCACACGCCCGATCCGAGGTATCGATCGTTTTTGTTTATCGATCGTATTTTGTTCCGGTTCCCTAAAACTCTCTAATGGTCATGTACGTACATGAAGCTACGTCCACTGCTTTCGTTGCGCGAGCACTCGAGAAGCGGAAACACCTGCCTGGACAATGGGCACCCACTCTTACCTTCCCCAGAGCAAACTTTACGACTAGGCGATTAAACCGTATATGTAGAAGACACACTCCAAACCTTATAGTGCAGAAGAGGAGCGCAGCTGCAGCTTAACCGTCGACGGCCGCCATTGATAATGTCGATGTGCGTGCAGTTTTCTGTGGATTGGAAGGCGCCTAAGTAGATTTCAAAATCAAATAAACGCTTGTAAACAGTGTTAGTAATTAAATTTAAATGTTTTAGTTTTTTAAATAATTAATTACGCTATGGTTACGAAACAACGAAACCAAGGCCGTATTCCAAATGAATTCGAGTTACTCTGGCGCACTAGTGCTCTGGCGGGTTGTGTCACGTGACATCACAAATTGACAAAAACCAATTAAAAACGTTGGACGCGGGTCTAGTAACGGTGGGACGTGGTCAGGTTTTAGAACGCCTAAGTAAAAAAAAACACCTAACACTAGAGTAAGATCGAGTGCATTTTGGAACACGCAAATACGACGCTAACGACACACACGACCACCACCACCACCATCATCATCATCATCATCATCATCACCACCACCACCATATGGACAAAATGGCGCCGTTATCTTCGGAGAATCCTCCTTGGCTCGGAGTCGGTGCTCTTCGAACAGTCTTCGGGTTCGTTCTCGCGTTGTCCGTCTCTTTTAACTTCTACATGCTCTACACACAAAAAAAGAGGTACTGGTCCTGTTTTTTGTCCTTCTGGAGTTTTGGTACAGTCTGATCGCTTTTCATTGTGGTGGATATCGCGCTGATGTTTTTATTAAGGTTATTCACTGTTATTCCCCTTGATAGTCTTACGTTCTGCTCAGGAATTATACATGTTAATTAGCTGCAAACCAAAAGTCAGTATGTCCTTGGTCGTTTCTAATTGTATCGTACTACTGGAACGCCCAACAGCGATTTTTTCCTGGACACCTCAGACATTGACGTATCACCACAAACTCCGATCAACGGTTGACGACGAACAAGTCCTTGTTTGTCGTGTTGTATTAATTTTAAAACCTCATAGCGCCGTGCTGTCACAAGAGAGAGAGGCAACATAAAAAGGACGGCAATTGCCTGACCGGCACAAAATAGGCCCATCTGACTTTTATTGTCGCAATCGCAGAGCGGCAGTCCCACCAAAGAACGCCGACAGCGAGGTTTGGGCACAATATTTTCGCACTCAGAACTGTGGCTGGCTTATATATGACGATAAGTTTATTTTCCCTTAACTTGTACTGAGGACCACGATGAGACTATTAATACTCTATTAAACTTTTTTTTTTTAATATTAAATATTCATACAATGAAACGTGAGATCAATTACTTATTGTGCTGACAATGACTCCAGTCAGCTTCCATTTGTAGATACTCCAGTGTCCAGTTATGTCACAAGCCACAAAAAATGACTAGCCTCTCAACCCTTCCACAACCAGACCTGCAACGTTACTAATGGCGAATTCCACTGGGCGTTTTGGAGCGCGCCGGGATCAGTTGACCAAATCCGGACTGGAGCACACGATCCGAACGGGGTCGCCTCGATTTCGATCGCCCAGTGAAATAGGCTCACTCCAGAAAAGTCGATCCCGGCGCGCTCCAAAACGACCAGTGGAATTCGCCATAAAACACTCAGTTGGAAAACTGCCACAGAGACTAATCTGAAAAAGTGGCCCCGATCTGTCCTCAAGAACCGAGCTAATGACGAACACAACGCCGCCATTTCTCCCGCAGCGGCCACTGGAGGAACTGTACGTTACTTCTATTTTGGCTTTAATCGGCCGTTGCTGAGCCAAAACAAATACAGCGGAAGAGGTTACAGGGGTGCCACCCCCGTCTCCCCAGCGAACGCACCGCGACTTACTACTGAAGTTAAAATGCACCTAGGTCGGGACGCGCTACCTGAAAGCACCGGTGAGGCATGGTTGTATAAAAACAATATTAATTGTGCTGCAAAACCCTGCAACCTAAAGATTTTAAAAACATCACGCGCCCATCATTTGGTACTAAACTCCAATAAATTTCATACAAAAAGAGTCTTTTCCGTTTGTTTTTATGCAAAAACATGCTTTCTAAAAGCTCAAGGTGACCACAGTACAGACAAATGATAAAGAGTGGCGCTGTTGTCGTATTTAGCTCGGTCTCGGTGGACCCCAGCGGCCCAAGTTTCGACGGCGAGTTTCCCAACTGAGTGTTCTAGTAACATTGCAGACCTGTAAGTGACAA